GTCGGTGCAAGCGCAAAGGCTAACAGGCTAAGCTGAGGTTCTTCTTCCATGAAACAGCTCTGTTGTCCTCCATCCATATTTTCAGTTGCAGGCTGAGTCATTTTTATGTTCTCCTCTCTGTCAACGCTCTCTGGTTTCATTTAAGAGTCGATCATCAGATATTGTCCAAGATTAACCTTCAGGGTGGATATAGCTCGCTAGCAGCCTTGCACCGAGGACCTATCCACGTCATCATTTACCCAGAATGCTTTGCGTGTAAATAAAATGGCCCCGTTCGTGTAATATATTTTTAAACTTTTAGTTTAAAAATTATAAAAACTAAACAGCCTACAGTATTTTTACAGACTTTGTTTTACAATTAAAATATAGGTTTATCAAATAAAGTCTAATGTTACAACTAATCGGGGATCCCTTTAAGATCGAATTAAGGAGGCAAACATCCAAATGAGACTTTTTAAGTAGGGTTATCATCAGCAGATTCTGTCGTGACTGAATTGTGCAAYGCTGCTCTGAGCGTTCGCTTGTTTTTSGCTCCTGTTTCGTTATTTCTACCAATCTCAACAAACCATGCTGACGTYRGGTATTTAATCTTTCATTTCTGTCAACGCATTTTAAAGAGCCACTTTATTGGAAACAGGATCAAATTCAATCACTCAAGTTTTCTCTGTGACCCCTTGAACACGTAAGCTTATGTAAAAAAAACGCTAATTTTTCTGCCTTTATCCCAAATTTGCTGATAATCTGAAACATTGAAGTATGTTTTTTTTTCCGCTAGCCATTGTCTTCATCACTTGACAAATTTTGCACACTGTCATTGGTTGAGGGGATTAGTTTACAAAACAGATGTCCACATGTTTTTTTTAAAGTGTGTTTTACCCCCCTGTGAAAAGATAACTCCGCCCCAAGGCGAAATTTGAAAAATGCATCAAAGTGGGTGGGGGAGGGGGGTTAGAGAGCGGAAGTGTGGCCAGGAAAAGAGAACGTGACAGCTAGCATTAGCATAATTGATGCTACATGGAAAGTGACCACAGTATCGCTGATAGTTACATCTCTGAACGTCTGAGGTGGAGGATTTTCACCCCACACCAGCCTCGGACAGAGGAGGAGGAG